CCGTTATATATAATTAAAAGTGATGTAGATGACCATCTCTACACAGATAACACTTGTGTAAAGTTTGGGGCTGATGACCTCATCAGACCGAAAGTTACAATAAAAACTTCATTTAGTCTTCAAAATTTGGTAAAAAATCAACCGTAAGTGATATAAGCGTGAATTGTGCACGAGATGACAGCTAAAACATTGGAGTCAGCTGCATGAAGTGCATAACTGGTGTAATTTTTCACACACAGGAAGCGCTGCCGACAAGAACCCCCAAAATATAAATTGCCAACTCGAAAATCCCATTAACATGCTGTGCATATGCTACTGTGTGTGTGTGGACGCCCAATATCTGCCTGCAACATAGACGGCGCACAGTGCGTAGAGCTTGTACTCGGGAGTTGGCAAAAAGCCGACCATGTGCTGGTGAGAGCAGATCTCATTGTACGGGGATGGAAAGCCAAAAGAAATAAATGCTTAAAATATCATATCTGTGCCTTTTTCCGTGATAAGTATAATGTATTGCACTGTACATGTTGAAACCTAGCAGGTAGCTAGGAAGGGAAGGTTTACAAATGGAAATTGACCTTACGTGATGACAATACTATCATCAGACGAGTCACGTGACATTAAATGGTGCCTCATTTAAAGTACTCTATCTCCTGAAGTGTATATCCAATTTGGTTTAATTCTTGCGGCTATCTTGAAAAGGGAGTGCTTTAGAGGAATTTAGACCTCGTGTGATCATGATATCATCAGGAGACAAGTCACTTGACATTAAAGGTGCACTCTTTAAGGCCTTATATCTCCTGAAGTACATGTCTGATCGGGTTCAAATCTTGCAGATATCTTGAAAAGGGAGTGCTTTAGAGGGATATTGACCTTATGGGATAATGACATCATCAGTAGACAGGTCACATGACATTAAAAATGCACTTTTTAAAGCCCTGTATCTCCTGTTGCCCTGTCCTTCTTATTGCCCCATTCTGGTCGTGACAGCCATGGCTTCCCTGCATCGTCAGACTCCTGGTCAATGTCCCCCTGATACTACCTCAGTGCCCAGACCTGCTATTCCAGCCCAGATCTCGCTGCCTTCATCTGGACCTGCTTCATCATACCTAATGTGTTGATATTGTTCAGCAATCCTTTGAGCAGGCAGGCCTTTCTCAAGACGCTACCACCTTGGCTACCAGAGGTAGGTGGCTGTCCACAAGGAAAATCTGTGACAGCCGAATACAACATTTCAATTGTTGATGCAGACTAGGGTATGCTACGGATCCGACCGAGGCCTCTCTTTACCTCGTGGCAGACTTCTTTATGCACCTCGTCCGTTCTGGCCTCCTTGTTTCTACAATCAGGAATCATCGCTCAGCACTAGCAGCAATCCACTGGGGCTTCCCTGATGGATCTTCTATTTCCAATGACTCAGCGATCCATCACGTCTGTGGAATGTTCATAGAACATTCTCCAACTAAGCGGCTCATTCCTTCTGGTGCTTCGGTAATGTCCTCTGGCTTTTGGCTGTCCCCCCCCATTTAAACCTGTGGGCCGCGCTTCCCTCCTCCAAGTTACTATGAAACTTGCTTTCTTCTTGCCATAATTACCACTCGCAGGGTCTGTAAGATTAAGGCCCTCTCCATCGCTGAAGGTCACATTTGATAGGAGCCACCTGGAGTGCGCCTGGTTCTGCAGATTGGCTTCCTCACCAAGAACCAGACTCCATCTTTTCAGCCCCCAGACATCTTTGTTCTGGCAATTCAGTTGTTGGCATCCTCTTCTAACAGACTCTGGTGCCCTGTCCAGATGCTCAAATGGTACCTCAATGGACAAAGGACATCTGCGGGTTGGTCTCACAGCTATTCATCACCACTACCATTCCGTATGCAGCCTTCAAAGACACAATTACCAAATGGGCAGTTTTCGCCATTAAATTTGCTAAAACTCTGACTGGCCTACTAGCACCGATGAACGATTTGAGGGCGCACTGCTGGGTGATCGAGAATTTAGCGAATGGAGTAATGGACTTAGGAAATAATGCATATGTATTGGTAATCTGGTAGGTATGCAGTTGTAGACTTGGAGAATTTGCTGTAATTGAAAAAGAAGAACACATGCAATTAGAGAGCCTTATGCTTTCGATCACTAATTTGATTGCACCAATTGGGTACTCTTGAATGCTTCCCCACAAAAGAATATGACTATAAAAAGAAACCTGAATGGCGATGCTTAAATCTTGTGTGCCCGGTAATAAAATTGCAAGCAGTAATAGGGAAAAAAAAACGCAGTATGGATAGAATTGGAAAATCTGCACACATTCGAATTTGTATTTGAAAAAATGAACATTGTTTTGCAGAAATTGCTCACAAACTGTGTTGCTACTGTGTGTTCCAGAGCTATTTTGTTTGGCCATCTGGCTCAGCCCTCTCATATGTTGATTTCTTATGGGTCTTTCTTCATGTTACCATTAGTAGGCAATTTGCTCAAGGCAATTATATTCTCTGCAGTTTTGCTTCAAGACTGCACAGTGTATAGACGTAGCATGAACATCAGTCCTGATCCCAAGGTGTTCATATTCATGCTCAAAATCAGAAGCTATTTTAGACTATAGATTCTATATAACTGCTCATGAAAACATGAGAGAATGTCATTCGGTCTGTATATGGGACAAAATGTGGTGAGAATGAAAACCTTGATGCCAGTATTTGTACATTATTGTGATGTCTTTAGTCATCAGATATGAAATTACTTGGATTTAATTGCAAAAATTTTGAAAAATGCAAGTTTCGAAAAATGAGATGGCATTGTTCATATTTTGAAGTCTGGCACCACCGTAGTCAACATATTGGTTGGGATCATAAAGTTGTTTGACCTTTGCCTCCAGGTCAGCCAAAAGCATAAATTCAGCTCAAAAAGGCAACCATTTTACTTTATCAAATATCTAAAATGTTGAGTGGTATGCAAAATTTCATGCAAGGGTTGATAATGTTCTTGCATGAAAGGGTAAAATGGAATGACATTAAATTGGATTGAAAAGATCATAATAACAGAAATTATGCACTATATACCTCTCCCTGTTTGCCTATAATTTGTATGCTTCGCCAAAGTTTGCAGAAAATTCCTCTTTGGTTGGCTTTTATTTTACTTCGCATTCCTTTGTAATGTACATTTGTCCCATTAATTTCAAGAAGGATTTATTTTTATTTCAGTATTTAGTAATATGAGTATTATTATTTGGTGTTTAGAAAATTGCTTGGGATTTTGAGAGCTTTCTATTCCATTTTCTCCTGACAGCCCGCCATAAATTTACAGCCAGGTTTGCAGGAAAAACGCAATTGGGACATCAAAAGAGCTGACCTTTGAAGATTTAAATTATTGCATTGTGTTTTGGGAGTTTTATTTGTGCAGGAGTCACATTTCTTTGAAATCCACTCAGTCCACTATTCTTCTGGATCTAATTATTGTTTTGTTTGGTGGTGAAATGTATGAGTGTACCCAGGGTTGCCCACCCACAAAAGAAAACAAATTAGATAGCGTGTGGGAACCAGTGAAATACGCCATAAAAGGATGCATCTATAACTTTTTAAACTTAAGTACTATTCCTTTAATCCACCAGGATTCAACTTCGCATGCCTCATGCCTCAGCAGCCAAGATTGTGGCCTTGCGGCCAGCAATTGAAGCCCTGATCTTTAACATGACAGCTAACCCTGACAGCATAATGTCGCCATCTACTCAGGATGAAATGCTACTTAATATCATTCGTGAGTTATCCTCAGCCAAGGCTGGATTCTTTGGAAATCCCCCAGAGGATTCAGGACAACAGGGGTAAGTTGTTTGGGTAAATGAAATTAAATTTAAATGCTAAAGTTAAATGTTTCATTCATATTTACAGTCGACTCTCGTTATTACAAAATCAGCCAAAACGAAATTCCGGTTATAACCAACACAAATCTGTGGTCCTGGCAAAAACTTTCACATTCCTATGTTGAGAAAATCTGGTAATTACTTGCTGGAGGGTGGTTTGAAAAATGCAGTGCACATAATTGGGACAATTTCAGTTGTTAAAATTCCTAAAATTCATCATTTCAATTAATGGGCATTTACACCCACATGAATGACTGTCTGGTGGCTACTCTAATCTGACTGACGTAATCTGTTGATGCCTGAGTATTTCAGCCAGGCCTGCAGTCTTATAAAAAAGCCCAGATTGTGCGGTGTTATGTAACTTTCTTTTGGTCATGAACCTGGCATGGTGCACTGCTGACCTCTTTTCAATAGGGGCCAGATTAGTGTGCAGTGGTGCTGTGTGGCTTATCGCTGTGGTGGTGGAGCGTTTTGGTCCCCGATGGTACTCCGCTTGCACTTAATGCCCCAACAGTATACTACTGTTTTGGGCATAGCGCGCCCGCGGATTAGGACCGCGGAGAAAAGTGCTCCAGGGCCCCATTAATGAGAGACACAACACCCCGGTGCACACTAATCCAGCCGTGTATGAAAAGATGCTACTGGCATTCACCGGAACAAAGGAAATTATGCAACACCTTACAATTCTGGGCTCTCTTTTACAGGGCTGCAGGCCTGGGTTGAATACTCAGCCATCAAAGAAGGTTGCCTGTCAGATTAGAGTAGCCACCAGACAGTTGTTTGTGCTTGAAACTAAAATTAAGATGAAAAACATACAAAGTGCAAGGCACTTAACAGAATCTCTTAGAGCAGTACATGTGTTGTACAGAGATGTGTTGGGTAGACAATCAATAAAGGGCCTATTTTTTATCTAGTTGTTAATATTCTGATTTGATTGGAATGGGTTTGGATGAGTGAAATAAGATCCAGTGGGTTTGCTTGACTATTAACGGGATTGTATGATGTTGGAATCTCTCATTTTGTTGGGAATTCATTACTCTAATGTTTCTGGATAGGGGGTTTCATTTTATTTGACCAAACTTATCATTAAAATAAGTGTACATGCTTGCAAGGTATGAAATGCATTTAGTGGGCAAAATCACATACAGCCAACTTTCAATTCCACTTAACTGAAACTTGTATGCATAAGTTGTCGTGTGCCATGGCTACTTGAATCATTGTCCCACTATCATAGCAGAAAACCAGCTCTGACTGCACGGCAAACCCTATAGTGCAATAATCTTTGGCATAACTACAGCTTACTGGAATTATCACATGACACATAAATTTGACCCGTTGAGTATTGGCATTATGCACTGAAGAACTTAAATCCAAGCTCACAAATAAAGCCATTGATGGTAGAAAAGATTTTTAAAAAGGTTTGCTTTACAAAGTTGACTTCAGTCAAACTGGGTGTAAAAAATGTGTTTGTATTAAAAAAAAATCAATACAATTTTATTGTAATTTTAATGGAATGACAAAGGAATACCCTTTTGTCATTCATCACTGACACTTGGTCCCTTTAAAGGGTTGTATTTTTCTTCTGAAAAGTATGGAAGCACAAACCCAACTGAGTATATGTATGTCACATCACATCAAAAACTCTTGTCCATTTCAGTGTCATTAGGTTACCAACATCATCAACATTCATAATTAGGAAAGATAAATAGTTTTGAAAAGAAAATCGTTTGAAAGTAATACATCATTGGTCCTTGCCCTATTTTACCCACAACCTCATTTTAAAGTTTGAAAAATGTGCCTGAAATGCAATTCATTACCAGGGAATTGCCTGAATCTTCACTCTTGTGTTGTCCACAATTGAACAATGGCATTGTTTCTTATCAATTTTACATTACAGTTAAAGTGAGTTCTGATTGGTGTGTTGTGCACTCATTCACATCAAAGTTTGCTTAAAACCCTCCTTTGGTTTTACAGCACAAATATGCACAAGTGTCCAAGGTCACTCTCTTGCATGTTGGTGCAGTGCACAACACAACACAGCTGTGCTTCTTTGAGGTGTTTACCAAGTGACCCAAAGAGTGACTTCAGCATAGGAGGGATGTGTTGCTATCAAGTGAACAGATGAAACTCAGACCATGGGTTCATACTCAAACAATTTAAGTGTGATGACTATTAGTCTCATTGCTTATTTTTCTTGCAGACGAGGCAGAGATCAACCAGGACCATCTCGATTCAGATTTTCGACCCCACCTGGCTACTCTGGAGGCCAAAGAGGTGACAGGGGTAGCAGGAGCTTCAGGGATCACTTCAGAGGGGGAAGAGGGGGTGGAGAGTATGAAGGTAGAGGAAACTTTGGGGGTGGTAGGGAACATGGCTTTAGGGGAGTTGGCTACAGTGCTGGGAGGCAGGGATTTCGGGGAGACAGAGGAAGATTCAGTGGGTTTAGAGGCTACCGAGGTGGTAGGGGGAGGGGTGGAGGTGGTTTCAGAGGTGGGTACCAAGGGGGTTGGTAGAGGTAAATGGTGAAATAAAGGAAAATAACCTTAGATAATGAAGAGTGTACGTCACAAGGTGAAAAAGATGAAAAACAGAGATCTGAATCCCAGGAAAATGTCATGTAACTCTTATATATCCAGTTAAATTTTCTCATGATCAGGAACATATTGAAAAATGGTACATGTAAGGAGTACAGTGGCATTTAATGAAAAAGTAGAGTATGCATTTGCAGTATTTCATAATTTGTAGGTCTTACAAGTGTATCACAAAGATAAAGAACAATCAAAATATTGATCGGTTCACTGATGTGACATTTGAATAAATGAATAGGGTTGAGATGACAGCTGCATGTTGGCAAATCTAGAGGAGACTGACAAATAGAAGAGGAAACATGAAGTCTCAGAATTAACTTTTCTTTGTTGTTTTTTATTTTGGGGTGGTTTAGTGTATTTGCTTCTTGTTTGGATTTCTTTTATAACCTTTTTGCTTTGCGTGGTCTTGATTTTTGCTGTGGGATTTGTAGAATCTGCTTAAACTGATTTGTATTGTGGTTGATTTTTGTTGATTAATTTAATGTTCCACTCATATGGTGCATTGTTCATGTTTTTATATTAAAATTGTTGAATGGTTGATACTCTTTATCTTGATGAAGCTCTCTTTTCTAGATACATCTAGTTGCCTGATATTAGGCCAACAACTTTTCTTGGTTTCAATGGTATATGTTTGAAATGATTTGTGAGCCTGAGATTAGTCCAAAGCGGAAACATAACTAAGATTTGAACTTGTATCTGCAGTAATAATATGCTTGCTGTACAGAATGTGCCAGCATTTGGTAACCTTAGGGGATGTCATCACACAGGTGAACTGGGTACTGGTCTGAATTTTTAATAGTTACAAATATTAAACTGAAAGTGTGCTTGTGATCTTGAACAAAATTTTGATACTGCACAAAATAAGTGCTTGGTGACATATTGGGTCTTAAATAAAACTTTGCCCTTTTGCATAATTCAGTGTTGACATTCTAGTATTACGCCACCGTTTGATCTTAGAAAAAGTTTGCTCTATAAAAAAGTTCATTTTGATTAAAAGAAGTTTGAATGCGCCTTTGAAAAATAGCATTGGTCTTAAATTGATTCCTTGTCATTCTCTGTATATAAGATTTTGGTTGTATTTTATGATTATCTCTGCAACACCTAATCAAATTTAAATGACATTTTGAGTGTGTCAGTTTTGAAAAGATGACACACAGTAAGTGTCATTCGACACTAAAAACAATAATTCCTGACAATTATTTTGGGGAGAAAACAAATGTTTCTCTAGGACCAGGGGAAAGTTCCCAGTTTGTATCTCTCTTAAATGTGGTAAAAATTTACTACAATTTCTTTTTCTAGGGGGGTGGGAGGCAGTAATATCAACGTAGCTGTGTAGTGTAAACTGCCCAGTAAAACAGACCACATAATTTTTCCCTCGAAGCAGTGTCCAGCTCATGTGAGTCAGAATTTCACAGAGGCAAAACTCGGCTATATATCAGAGCAGGCTGAGTGTAACCGTAACATTGCATATGTGCACTACACGTATGTGTACTTAATTGCTTCGGTTAATTTTGTTTTCATTGTTTATATTTGTAAAGGTTGTAGATCTTATGGAAACCCTTGAATGGCTATTATACATTACTTAATAGTGTACTGCTTACAAAGTACCTGTAAGTTAGGATATAGATTAAATGACCAATATCGGATACATGTTAACTTGATTAATTTAGCCATGGACTTTGTAAAGTGTTAGAAATAAGAAATCCCCTTTAAACAATGATTAAGTTCCAAGAATAGATTGTTTATCATAAATACGTAGTAATAAGTAAAAAGTAGTAATTGAGCCAGGTAGAACTGAGCTGAGTCCTCTAAACATGATTTTTTGAACCATCAGTGTTGAATAAGTACAAAATCTGATTTTAGCAGGAAAACTGGAAAATAGCAAAGTCAATTGCTGCTAATTGTTCAGTCTGCTTCTCTGGTAGCAGAAAATGGGAAAACATATTTTACAAACCACTTTTCTGCTACCGTAGACAAGCAAGTGTCCTCTTTGAACCTCCATATGCAAGTGAATATGCCCTAAATTGCCGGCGCGGACCAAATCATGATACGCATGCGATCAAATTCTCTAGAGCATTTCGTGGCATGTAGAATGGATGTGGACAAGGATGGAAGCAACCATCAGGACTGCCATCTTGTATTTTTGAAAGCATAAAACAAAACAGGCCCTCCGAATTGCAGAGTTTATATTCATTTAAGGCCGAAATATGACTTCAAATAATTTATTGTCCCCAAGACAGTGTTGGTATGCGCAACTCGGAACAAGCCCTCCTTTCTCATGCCAACGTGTGGTCACTGGTTAATTGATACAAGGTCGTACATACGAGTACTCGTTTAGCGGTCCAGAAAACTCGACCGTTTGCCAACTCGACTTCGGACAAATGGTTTCGAGTCAACTCGGCCCCAAATCAACTCGGACCCATACCAACTCGGACCTACGACCAACTCGGACCCACCCTGAGTCAACTCGAACCCAACCACAGGAGCGTGACCAACTTGTTGAAAATGTTGAATTTGTCCACTTTTACATTTTAGCATTTGGTAAATTAAACTTTTGCAGTGCATGCTGTCGAGATGTAACGTCCTCTCTACACGTAATGCAGGGAAACAGTGGCACAGGCTTCCCAGAATTTCTCAGGTTAGGAGTTTAAACAGGCATGGTGGTTAAAAACGTACAGGACTAGATTGATGTCAGTGATGTCTTGGAACAAGTGATAAGTAAAATAACCGACGAGCGTCGTATTTTTTTATGGCGGCACATTTCCTCTGATGTCTTATCTGCCGCTTGTAATCTGGAATCTTAATGAGGTATCAGCTTCCGAGGGGCCGACGTGATTGACCACAAAGACTGATTTTGTCACCTTCCATTCTTGAAACCCTATGATCGGGGAGTGGGAGCTTGGGACAACCAATGGGAGCAGCTTTTGGAGTGTGATTGACAGAACCAAATCATTGACGCCCTTTCTCCGAAGTTTTTTTGGCACTCCAGATCACCAGAAGAAATCGAATGAACTGTCACCAAACAGCCCCCAAAGTTTTTGTTGCAATAAAAAGCCACAGATAGGCTCTTCTGATGTACATAAGAGATGCTGCATGCGTACAACACATACTGCAGATATACATCAATATCACGAACATTGACCTTTTATAGTGTCTCATGGTGTTATCCCCCACCTCACTTTTGAAATTTTTTTTTGGGGCCTGGCAAGTCTTACACCTCCTCCTTGCCCCCCCCCGAATACCGGCAAAATTTAGGCAGATGGAGGAATTCATCCATACAGGCCTAAACTGACTGTCCACACAA